AACAGAGAGTCCCTGATGGAGCAGGAGAAAAGTGGGGTGCAGAACTCAAATTCTAGTAAAAAGACCAGACTTAATGGACTGACTGAGACTGGAGGAACCCCGGAAAGCACGGCTTGCAGTTTCTCTGTCAGCACAGAACTAAAACCATTTCTGTACCGTGGGACATAAAATGATACTTGTGAAGAGTGTGCTTCTTAGCTCAAGTAGATACATGAGACTAAATGGGCAGTTTCTGTCTGGAGTTGAGGTGAGAAGGCAGAGAGGGTCAGGAGCTTGTTGAATGGACATGGGAAATCCGGGGTCGAAACGAGGAGTGTGCTGTCACAGTATAGGGAGAGCAATTAGGGTCACATAACAATGTACGTATAAATTTTTGTATGAGAGAGTAACTTGAATTGTAAACCTTCACTTAAAGTACAACAATTAAAAAAAGAAAAAAGTGTGTGTCCTTGGGCCTCCTGGTTGTTATTTGTTGCATTACTTTTTCAATGCTACTGTAGGGTCGCTTTGAGTCAGAATCGACTGGATGGCGAGGGGTTTCTAATTGTTTCTGAGCTGCACCTAGTGACTTAATCTCCCTTTATGTGATCAAACCAACCCCCCTCCAAAGTTTATGTGACCACAAAAGTCACAGCTGCCAGTTAGAAAATTCTAGGGTTAATTCCTTTTTTTAATATAAAACTTTGGTATAGATTAAGTTTACATTTGATGAATTTATCTTTTCAAGTTCCTTTCAATTAATTTTCTTTAATCAAGTTCTTCTTGCCACTAATCATTTTTGTTGCCTACTTAGAAAACATTACTAATTCTCATTTGGTTCAGTAGTGCAAAATGAGCAATGGCGTGTTTGAGACTTTCAGTATTTAATTATAATATACTTATAAATTTATCAGTTACTGGGAACTTCTGATTCCATTTTTTATTCAAATTGGGTGAAAGTAAAAAATGGCTGGAGATCTGCTGTAATGACTGTAAACGGGATCAATGGACCAGCAGTATCACCTGGGATACTTGTTAGAATGGTCCCAGCATCACCTGGGAGCTTGTTAGAACTGCCATGTCTCAGGCCCCACCCCCAGACCTGATAAATCAGAGTGCATTTTAACAAGATGTCCCTGCACCAGCCAGGTGATCTGTGAGTACATTAAAGTGTGAGAAGCTCTGGACTAGGTGGAGAGCATTGCCTTCTCCAGTTTTCTCTTCTTTTTCTTTTTTTTTATTGTACTTCAGGTGAAGGCTTACAGAACAAATAGTTTCTCATGAAACAGTAGTACACATATTGTTTTATGACATTGGTTAACAACCCCAC